AGGCAGCAGCTGGAGACAGGGAGAGGGGGTATGCTTCCTGGGACCTCCTCTGACTTGATATTTGTAAATGACTTTTTACTTTTCCTTCTTGCTTCTGCTTGATCAAGTCTGCTACTGAACTCCACTAGTAAATTTTCCATTCTTTTTTCTTTGTAGTACTGGGTACTGAGCCAAGGGTCTTCACACTGAGCTACATCTCCAGACTGATTGATCAACTGATTAATTTGTAGGGTTTTGCAAAGTTTAAAGTTCCCCAGGCTGGGCCAGAACTCGGAGTCTTCCTGTCTCAGCCTCCCAGAGTACTGAGATTACAGGAATGCGTCACCAGGCTTGGCTCAAATTACTATATTCTTCAGTGTCAGTTTTCCTGATATTCACTTAAGCGTTTATCTTATCTGGGTGCTTTTGTAGTGAGATTCTACAAAATAATTATTTTGAATCATTTGTCAGGTAATTCATAGACCTATTGCTTTGGGGTTGCTTTTAGGGATTATGTCATGACTCCCTTTTTCTTTGTGTGTTGTTATTTTTGTTGTTTCACACATTATGAAAAAAGCAAAAACCAATCACGTCTCGTCTTTCCAGATCAGATGTATACAAAAGAAGACTTTTACCAAGAGACTCTGGGAATCCCTTAGGCCTCTTCCAGCAATGTGTCTTCTCTGGGCTTGTGAATGTAATTTTTCAATTAGAGAACTGTACTGTTTTATTTTTTAAGAGCGTACATATCTTTTTGCTCCCCCTCATGTCTGTTTGGGGTACTGTTGGCTCTCTGGTGCTGCAACAGGCTGCCAAGTTCTCTTGCTCTTCATGGCCCCAGGCTTCCAAAGTATGCTAGTCTCTTGCCCATACTATGCACCATCCAAGGGAGAACCAATCCCTCCGACATTCCCCAGGACAGCCAGAATGCCGGACACATGTCCCACTCTTCTTTTTCTCCCTAGGGAAGAGCCACAAGCTTTGCACTTTCTCCCAGGTCTACTGAGCAGTGCCAGCCCTGCTCTACAGCACTGTCAGGTCTCAGCACTAGAACAAACCTGTGAGCTTTCTTATGTTCTTTGTGGCCCTCAGGCACCCGAGGCATACTGGCTTTCCACAGGAGTGCTCCCCAAAAAGCCGATCTGCTGGATCCACACTTGACTCTTTCTCTCATGGGAGAAATAAACTGGGCTGCTTCTTCTAATCTTGTCAAGCTGTGCCAAGTTATCACGGCTGAGATGAGCATTTTTTCTTACCAATTTTGCGGCACGCATTTCTGACTCTGAGCTTGTCTGCAGTATGGCAACTTCTTTATTGCTTTCTAGAGTTCTCATAGAGGCTTTCTTGGCCATATATTGTTAAGCTGAGACCTCTGTGTGGGAGTAAGATCTGTGCTTTCTATTCTGCCATTTTTCTGATGTCACTCCTGAACAATTTCTTTAATGTTTATTATTCCTTCAGTTTTCCTCTTTTGGTAACGACTACTTACGTTCCTTACCTGCTTCCATACTATAGTGTTTGTCTCTTTATGACTGATTTGCAGGAGTCATTTCTGTATTTTGGATACTAATCTTTTTGTCAATTTCATAGGTTCCAAGCAACTTCCAAGTCTGTGACAGAATATTTCCACTTGTTAATAGTTTTATGGTGCTGCTGATATTTATTCTCAGTTGATTTTTTAAAATTATATTTTGGGAGTCTGGTGTACAGAGTACATACACATTGCATCTTATCAATTTTCAAATTTATTTTTAAAAATTTTAATTCAGTTATTCAAAAGATTCATTACTTAACATTCACCTCACAGCTAAATCAAAGTCTTTACTTGACATATAAATAAATTTGTCTATGTATTCTTCAAACCCCCTAGAGATTATTTTTTATGTATATATCAATACCACAAAAGTTACCTATTTCACATGTCCTAATAATGATGATTAATAAATTTACCAAGTTCAAAAACCAGCACCATCATCTAGTTTTAGAACATTTTCATTACCTTACAAAAAACATCCTCTGTGTTCATTTGCAGAAAATCTGTGTTTCTACCCCCAGACACAGACAACTAATTTAGCGTCTGTCTCTGTATTTGCCTGTTCTGAAAATCTCATGCAAATGGAATCGTCACAATATGTAGTTTTTTGTCAATGGCTTCTTTTACTTAGCACATTTCTGAGGCTCACCCATGCTGTAGCAGGGATCAATTCCTTCTTATTGAGCATGCTATTTTACAGACACTCCATATTTTGATACCTCTATTTATGAGCTAATGGACATTTGGGATGTTTGCACTTTTTTGCCTATTATGAATAATGCTATGAATATTAATATACTAACAATTTTGTGTTAACTATTATATATACTTTTTGTGAAATATATATTTTAATATTTTGCCTATTACTAAGTTGGTTGTCTTCCTACCACTGAGTTTTTCATATATTTCAGATAAGAGTCCTTTATCAAATGCCGTGATTTGAAAATACCTTCGCATAGCCTATGACTTTGTCTTTTCATTCTTTAAATGACGGTAACAGACTTAAAGACTTGTTGATTGTTCTTTGGATTATTTCTAGATATGAACCATTACAAATAAAGCAACTCTGAATCTTCATGTACAAGTATTAGTGAGTACTTGTGTTTTTATTTGTTATGAGCAAACACTCAATAGAGGAATTGATAAGTTGCATGGCAAGTGTTTGTTTAACTCTATAATAAAGTGCCACATCGTTCACCACAGCAGTCATATCATCTCACATCCCCATAAGCAGTGTGAAAGAAATTCATATCTTCAACACACACTTACGTGTTTTCAATTCTAGTCATTTGTATGGCTAAATACAAAAGACTAAAATTTGTATGACATTTGTATGACAAAATACAAATGACTAAAAGGGAATATGTAGAGTGGTATCACATTTGATTTTTTTCTTATTTAATTTTTTACTGTGGTAAAACAGAATAGTTAGATAGATATTTGTACTTGGTAACAAGGTGCAGACATTAAATACATTCGTGTGCTGTCTTCTCATTACTATCTATGCTCAAAAGTTTTAATCATCCCTAATATAAACACTTTTTAAAAACTCCATTTATTTCTTTTCTTTGCAGCTCCTAGTAACCTCTATTCTGCTGTTTCTATGAATGTGCCTATTCTAGGACTTAAACATTAAATGTTTAAACATTAAATGTTTTAACATTAAACATTTAATGTTTAAGTGTATTTAAAACATTTATATTTTCTGTGTCTGGCTTATTTCACTAAGTTTGAATGAAGCTTTCAAGGCTCACCTACGCTTTTACATATATAAAAATTGTATTCTTTTTATAGCTGCATAGTATTCTACTGTATGCATACAGCACACTTTTTTTATCCACACACCTGTTGGTAAGATACTTGGGTTGTTTCTACCTTTCAGCCACCATTGCTAATGAACACTGGTATACAGACACCTGTCCAAGTTCTACTTTCAGCTCTTCTGGATGTGAACAGCTACAGCATTGGGTTTTCTGGGTCACACAGTAATTCTGTGTTTAACTTTCTTGGGGAAATGCTGCACTCTTTTTCATCATTTTTTGGGGCACCATTTTATATTTCCCAATTCCTTTGCATCCTTACCAACATTTGTTACTTTTCCATCTCTTTTTTTATTGTTATTATAGTCATCAGATGGGTACAAAGTGGAATTTCATTCTGATCTGATTTACATCCCTAATAATTAGTAACGACCAGCATCTTGTGTGCTTACTGGCCAGTAGTGCATCTTCTTTGGAGGTATGTCTACTCAAGTCCTATGTCCCTTTTTATGGTGTGGTACTGGGGATTAAACGTGGGTCTCACATATGCTAGGTAAGTATATTACTAATGAGCTACATAAATTCTCAGCTCAAAAGTTCTTAATTTTAATAGAGTCCAATTTATCTAGTTTTCTTTACTGATAATAGGTGGCATATCTTAAAAAAACATTACTGAAAAAAGTGTCATGAGAATTTTTCCTAGTATTTTCTTCTAAGAATTTTTTTTTTTTTTTTTTTTGGTTTTTCTCCGGTACCGGGAACCGAACTCATGACCTTGCGCTTGCCAGGCAGGTGCTTTTGCCGCTGAGCTAAATCCCCAGCCTCTTCTAAGAATTTTATAGTTTACTTTAAGGATTAGATGCAGTTTCTAAACTGAGAGGGCAAAGACCTTTTTTGTTTGTTTTTTAAAACAAGGTCTTGCTATATACTCCAGGCTGGCTTTGAACTTACTACGTAGCCCAGGCTAGCCTTGAACTTATGGAAATCCTCCTGTCTCAGCCTCTCAAGTGCTGGGCTTATAAGCATATGTCACCATGCCTGGCTTCCAAAGACTATTTTTGATACAGTTTTAATTGGCAATAGTTTAAAAAAAATTCACAAAAGTTCTTCAAACCCCAGGTACCCTTGGTTAATGATTTGTTAAAAATGAAATGCTCACCAATGAAAACAACTCTGAATACCTTCACGGAGTGAAGAAACATTTGTAATGTGATTAACTGCCTTTTACTTTGTCTGAATCTATTAGATTTGTTTAGTCTAGACTTTGGACTATTATATTCCTTAAAACAGGTCACATGCATACATCCAATAGCTGTTGCCTTGTAAATATCCTGTGTGTGCGGACACATGCACACACAGTCAGAGTGGGAGCACACATTGCATCTATACACATTCTTCTCTGTCACAGTAAGAAATTCCAGGGTGACCCACAGTGGTCCTTTTCCTTTTGTATTCCTTACTATGCATGTAAGAGTCTCTCACCTAACGGGTACACGAAGGATGTTGCATGATTTACTTATTGCCCCACGAAAATTGAGAGAATAGTGATTAAAAAGAAAGTTTGCAAAAACTCAAGAATTCACCATGTATTCCACTAAAACAGTCTCTACACAGAATATAACCATACCTACGAGCATGCATTTCCTATGAATTAGAGCATTTTTCTTTCATAATGGAGCTGATACATCTTGAAATTGGAGAACAGGGATGTTTAGTTTAACACCTACCGCCTTCGAGTGTTAAATCCATTAAGATGACTCTCTCTCAGTTTGGACACTAATGATAAAACCATCTGTGAAACAAAATCAGTTGCAGGTTAACTCAAACTGCAAACAGGATTACATCAGCTCTATTTTTCTGGGTGAGTGATATTTCCGTTGAGATTCCTTCCACCCACCTTCTCTTTATGTTTTATTTTGTTAGAGTGAAAAGGAAGCAGTACCAAATCATATTTACTAATAAAACAGACTTCATGTTTAAGGTTTATTTTCTGCATTCCTATCTAGGAAATGAACAGTAGACAGATCACTAATTTCCTAAGAATTAAAACCAAATCCACGTAGAGCTTAAAATGCAGAATTCACTTATTATTTCTTTATTTTAAAAAATGCTTTTCATATATAATACTTCCAAACAACCAAAATGGCTAACATACATTAAAAATCTCGTAAAATTTTTTTAGAAGTTATGTCCAGATAGTAAATTTAAATTTTTAGATTTCGCTAAAATTATAGGCAGAAGTAAACATAGCTTAAGTACTAAGATATAAACATGTAATACTATTTATGAGGTTGTTTAGTGAATTTTCTGCTGTGCTTTAACATAAATTCTAATAAGTTTATTTTAAATACAAGATCTGTCCAACAGTACAAGACTGTGTTTCTAGTTTAGAAATTCTCTTGTCTTCAAAATCTTTAATGAGTAAGTGAGATGTGTAATAAGAAAGAGAAGTTACTAAGACCTTTCCTGGTTTCCTTCTTTCTCATAACCTCCCACCTCTCAATTCTTCCTTACATGGCCATAAGCCTGACCAAGGTAAGAGATAAACAAAGAAAAGTTAAACAATTCCCTGGGAGGACTGAAATGTTTCCATTTATCCTTCAGCTGATGGTACATTCAACAATGAAAATTTCAATACGAGTACATTTAATATACTCACATTTTTAAGCAAAGCAGGATAGTAATCTACAGGCTCATACCCAAGACCTTGAGTAAAAAGACCAATTTCTTTTATATTATATTCAAGTCTGAATGCAGAAAGTATATGAGACAACAGGGCCTAAAAAACATAAACAGAAAGAGGAAAGGTTAACTTATTAAAAGTGGATTAAAGTGTCTGTTATGTACAGTACCTAGAATTCGAGTTATTTGTAAATGGATGGTCCCTATGAAACCAGTAATCCACCTCTGTCTGGTCCACTTTGATTCAAAATGCAAAGAAGAAATAACTTAGTGCTAAAATTATACATTAAAAATAAGTCAATTTAACCAAATGTGAGCAGTGAAACAAAAACACATCTAATGAACAAACTGGTCCTTAACTATATTAAGAATAGGATCATTATTCTAAAACTCAACAAAAAATTTTTATCAGAGTATATAGGAGAATCTAATACATGATAAAGATGCCATATACACACCAGTAGGGAAAGGAAAGATTATGCAAAATATGCTTCTTGGAAAATTAACTATTTTTTTAGAAAGGTTAAATTCTCACCTTACGTTATTCATTAAAAGTTATAGAAAATTTTCCCTGCTTGCTATTGGAGAAATATAAACGGGCATTTCTATTCAGAGCGTGGCTGACCACTGCGGCAAGGCCCCCACAGACCGTGAACAGGCGGATCCCAGCCCCAAGCCTGGACACCCACGACTACACTTGCCCAGCAGTTTGCCACCTGAACAAGGACACCTTGTAGGCTAGCAAAGGCCCCACCTTTTGTACAGTGCAACTGAAAAATATGTATTTAATATATTCAAAGTATTTAGAACCTAGCATACATTAAAGGAAAAAAATCTAAATATGACAATAGGAATTATACTCAAAGGCAGTGACAGAGTTCATCACATTGTAAAAAATGTTTGACAAGAGGGGATGATTAATTTATAATACCCTTATACACTGGCTCATTGTAAGACAGTAACATGTTTATAAAGAATTTATGACAGCATTTTAAATGGGTATACTACTAAATGAACAAAGGAAGATGTAAACTTCTATATCCAGAAGTGGTCTGATCAATATAAAAGTAATCTATACATGAGAATATAAAAATAATGGAAGAAAAGATCCCCACAAGTAAACACTCTCTATGGTAGTGCTACTATGGAGATAGACACATACATATATGGAAAATAAAATGACATGATTTAAATTATGTCTTTTTTTTTTCCATGAATACCCAATAAGAATTACTATGGAAGGCCACAAGAATCTTTTTTTTTGAGACAGTGTCTGACTATGTAGCCCAGGCTGGCTTAGAACTCGTGGCAATCCTCCTGCCTCAGCCTTCTGAGTGCTGGGATAACAGGCCTGTACCACCACACCTGGTTTGGGAGGCCATAAGAGTTATACGCCTAGATAAAAAGTATAAATCCTAGAAACGATACAGTATATTGAGATGGTCTACAGTTATAAACTGTTAAAACAGACAACTCAAACTTTAGTCCCCTAAATCTCCCTTTTAAGTAAACTTAAAAAATTGATTAAGCTGAGCTGGGGATGTAGCTCAGTAGTAGTACATTTGCCTAGCATTGTGAGCCCTAGATTCAATCTGCAGCACCACAAAAAAAATAAAAAAAGATCATTAAGCAGCTGGGCATGGTGGTGCATACCTGAAATCCTGGTACTTGGGAAGCTGAGGCAGGAGGACTGCAGGTTTCAGGCTAGCCTGGGCTCTATAGGGATTTCAAAGCTGGGCTGCACTATATAAAGACCCTGTCTCAAAAACAATAACCAAGAAAAGATTAAGCATTTTTCCTTGTTAAGAATAACTTTTTTACTGCCACCTGGTGGCAAAGAGTCTAAACAAAATACCATTATAGATGAGACATTAGCCCTGGACAAAAACAAATTCCTACAGGCACATAAGAATAGATTCTTTTTGAAATGCTGGCAGACCAACCTTGGAGATCCTCTACTGTGACCCCACATTTTACCAATGAGGAACTGAGTTTCCAAATATACAAATCAGTATTTACAAAAAGGAGATGGCTACAAAGAAACAGGTTCTGACACTGGGGGTGGGGGAGTGCAAATACATGCCCCTGACTTGTGATCTAAACTCCCTCAAGGGTGGAAAGTGTGAGAACCAACATGGTTTCCCATGAAATGATAAGTCCAACATCAATTCATGCAGTAGTTTTAAGAACAAAGGAGCTCCGCTAATGTTGGAAAGCCATTGAGCATGCTTACACCACAAATGTGAACGTCCATACGAGAAGTATCAACTAAGTCAGGGGAGATCCACTGCCCTGTTTTTAGGTGCTCTTGTTGGTCCTTGCCTAGCTGCATCTGTTCTAACTTGTGACAGACAAGAACATTCACAGGCACATTAGGAAAGTTGGAGCAAGCAGGCCGTGGTTTGGAACATGGTCAGGGTGTGGAAGAAGAGCCATGGATTCTGCTCAGGCAAAGGGGAAGGACAGCCAAACTGTGGTCAATATTCTTGAACTGAGACACAGCATACATTTTATGCTACTCCAAGCAGTTTCTTCATCTGATCATTAAGGTCTTTTAGAATTTCCACTACTTTTCTCTCTATTCCACATAATGTACAAAAAAAAACCTTGTTTGTAAAACAGGAACCCTTCATTCATTCAACAAACACATCTTGAGTATGACTGGGGGCTACTGGCATGAGAATCCCCAACAATCGGGTGACCAGCGATGGAGATGCAAACAGCCATAAGAGGAGACCTATTCACCAAGTGCGATAATGAAGGGTAAGACAATCACTGTGGGAGCAGAGCAGGGAAGTATGAGTTCCAACTGGCGGTTTCTGGAGTGCTCCCAGAATGGTGGCATCTGAGCTGACTCTGGCAGCTGGAGAAGCACACAGCAAATGAGGGACATGAGCTGGGAGAGACAGGAAAACAGGACAGCAGGGGAAAGCAGGGGAGAGGGGGCCATCACAGAAATGCCCTGTTGCCCCAAATGCTCCAGGCTTTCACATGATTCCTAAACACAACCTGCGCCCACGTGGCCTTTATCGACCCAGACAAACTCACTTTCCAACCTTCTGATTTGGGGAATGAGATACCCTACTGGTCACCAAAGTCACCCAGCCCCTTCTAATCTCATCACTTCTTTCTTGTGGTTAATGTACATGAAAAATGTTCAGCATCTTTGGCCATCAAGGAAATGTAGATGAAAACAACACTGAGGTTCCATCTTATTCCAGTAAGCATGGCCATCACCAAGGATTCCAGAAAAAAGCAAATGTTGGCAAGGATGTAGGGAAAAAGGAAGCCTTCTGCATTATTGTGGAAATGTAAACTAGTATAACAACTATGGAAATCAGTGTGGAGATTCTTTATAAAACTAAAAACAGAAACTCCATTTACCTAGCTATACCTCTCCTGGGTATCTTCCTGAAAGAGTTGAAGTGACAATTCACTGTAGCTAAATTATGAAAAAAGCCCAGGTGCCCATCATCAGATGAATGCATAAAGAAAATGTGACTTATATATATATGGAGTACTACTTGGCCATAATGAAGGATAAATTTGAGTCATAGGAAGATGGATGGATCTTGAAACCATAATGAAAGAGGCGACATGACAAAGCTGGCTGGGGATGAAGGCTGACCTGTTAATTACAAAACCCAGGACACATGCATAGAACAGTTCCCAAAGTCCTACATGTGGACTTCTCATAAGAACCTGAGCAGGTTTTTGATAGGACAGCCTTGACCTGACATCAGCCTGAGGAGTAGGTGATACAAAAAGGACAGTCACCACTGAGTGTTTTACAACTGTCTCTTTGCAGTAGACTGCTCTCATCCTATAAAGTGTACTTATTTTTTTTCCTACTTTTACTTGGCCCAAACTCACTCTGCAGAGCCAGTTACCTTTAATATTAACATCTAAAACCTTCTACTGTTTGTGCTTGCTTGACCAATTCTTTGCTCAAAACAGAAAGAACCTAGAAACCACCTCTAGAAGGAGAATCCAGCACCCCAAACCCCAGTAACAATAATAAATAAAATAAATCAGACACAGAAGGTGAAACATCACACAGCTTTTCTTACATGAGAAACCCAAAATATAAACAATTTAAAGAGCAAAATAAGGGGCTGGGGATTTAGCTCAGCGGCAAAGTGCCTGCCTGGCAAGCGCAAGGTCGTGAGTTCGGTTCCCGGTACTGGAGAAAAACCAAAAAAAAAAAAAATAATAATAATAAAGAGCAAAATAAGTAAGAGATGGTAGGAAACATGGAGGTAGGACTTTTTGGAGCTGTAGAAGGGGATCTGGGAAAGAGGAGGGGGGGAGATGGGGGATGCAGATGTGATCTATATCCAGCTATTCTCCAGAACAAACATAATTATTATATATCACAAATATATAATAGTAAAAATAAAATATTTTCTTAAAAGCAGTATCTCCCTCATCTCTAGCTGCCAAAGTTAACTTATCTTTCAAAACCCACCTTTCTCCAGGATGCCTGTTCTAGCTTCCAACTGGATAGGATCTTGCCCCCCTGAAGTCTCCATGGTTTCAATCTGTATCTTGCTCAGAGAGTCCGGCAGTGTTGTCACCAGCACACTTTTATGTTCTGCCCAGGAACCCATGGCTCTAGTCAGAAGGGATTACTTTACCAACTTTTACATTCCTTACAGTAGCTGTGAAATAGCTTTAGGCATCTCACACAGTAGTCAATCAGCAGACATTAGCTAGTCAAACTCACTAAAATGGACTGCTTTTATGCAAATATCAAACAATGCAATCATTACAAGTTTCCTTTGTGACTTTCTTACAGGAGAACAAGTTAAATTTTCCTTCCTCAGTTTCAGGTCATGAAATACCCACAGAACACCAGAAAGAAATAAAAACAAAACCATACATGATACTACTGTGTACTTTTAAAGAGAATGACCCAGTTCAGTAATACTGCCAAGCACCCCACACATCGATAAAGACGCTTTGGAGCCATGTAGCTGGTGTGATGCTATAGTCTGAGACCCTCCAGGAGGGACAGGAGAAGCAAGTATCATCTTTGTGGAAAGCAGCTTGGGAAATTCCTAATCAGTTGCAGCTGTATTTGTATAAAAGTTATTA